GAGTTAGCGTATTAAAACCCTATGTGCACTGAGCTGACGGCGGTAGTTTTTAAAAGTGATGCGTAACCAGTTCAAAATCGACTTTGCAAGTTTGGCGATCATTGTAATGGCCTTATGCAAAGGACCGAAAATACCGTTGCCGTTCCATAATTTTCGACAAAATCGAATGGGTCTTGAGTAAAATTGTGACACCGCGAATATCTACTAATCACGACCCCGCACATAACTTCCCACAATACATTCATTTCGCGAATTAAAGTTGATGGAATCAGCTCACGAGCTCTACAGAATCTATAGTATAGATTGTTAAGTATCGAAATATAACGTAAATTTCAAACACATAAAAGTGTCGGGTCAGATACTAAAACGATGTTATTTCTCACCCAGCACTTTTGTCAATGGTTTGGGATGTTACAGTGCGAAGTTTTCGATACTTAACAATTTAACATCAAATTTGTAGAGCACGGTCCGCTGATTACGATTCCGGTTTCAAATTTTTGCGGAAATGAATACCGTGGATGTTTTCTGGCGGGGAAGTTTGGCGGGCGTGGGGTCGTAAATATTACGTAAATTCGCGAGATGTGTAAATTTTAGCCCCCCCACAACCCACTGACTCCGATAAAGCCAGCATTTTCGCCGATCACTTAGCTAACGCTTTCAAACCACATAATATCACCCCAAATAAAATTCATACTCAAAATATTACTAGATTTCTTGATTCCCCTCTCCCTATGGCCCTCCCTGCCAAACGTACTAGCCCGGGTGAAATTCAATACATCATCCGCAAACTCCCAACCAAAAAAGCCCCTGGGCACGACCTAATAAGCAACTTAGTTGTCAAACACCTCCCTGAAAAATCTATCATTCTTTTAGCACTAATTTTCAACTCTATGTTTCGTTTATCCTACTTCCCTACAGCCTAGAAACACTCAAACATAATCTTAATCCCAAAACCGGACAAACCGCCTGATGTCCCGTCTTCCTATAGACCAATATCTCTCCTCCCCACATTCGCAAAAATTTTTGAAAAAATACTCCTCAAAAGGCTACTTCCACTATCAGACAAATTCAACATCATCCCAAACCACCAATTTGGATTCAGGTCCAAGCACTCCACCATCCACCAGCTCCACCGCACTGTCGACTTAATCTCTACCAGCATGGAATCTAAACTTTACTGTGCGGCTGTACTCCTTGACGTGGCGCAGGCCTTCGACAAGGTGTGGCACGAAGGACTTCTCTTCAAACTCAAAAAATTCCTCCCTGCCTCATACTACCTACTTTTAAAATCATACCTCGAAAATCGCACCTTCAGTGTTCGCGTTAATAACAGCTACTCGTCAAACTTCCAAATACTAGCTGGAGTCCCTCAAGGAAGTGACATTGCTCCCTTCTTATACTCTATATTCGCCCACGACACTCCGACCTCTCCTCATACATCACTGGGTACATATGCTGACGACACGATAATCCTGGCTTCAAACCATGACCCCCAGGTATTATCTCTCCGGCTTCAAAATCACCTCAACTCGATTCAACGATGGTCAAACCGCTGGAAGATCAAAATTAACGACGCTAAATCATCCTTTATCACCTTCTCTCTTAGACCAGGCGACTGCCCCTCCGTATCGTTTAATAATAACCAAATCCCAGTCACCCCGACAATAAGATACCTAGGTTTGATCTTTGACAGGCGCCTCACATGGGCCCAACACCTTAAAATAAAAAGAAAAACAATCAACTCCAGACTTCATTTACTCCGCCCACTTCTTAGATCCAAGACATCTTTAAAAAATAAACTATTAATATACAAATCCATCATCAGACCTGTTTGGTCCTATGGCATCCAGATTTGGGGCTCTGCCAAACCCTCCAACACGAGAACAATCCAGGCATTCCAGTCTATCTGTCTAAGGCAAATTGTCTCTGCTTCATGGTTCATCTCAAATAATAATCTCCACAAAGACCTAAATATCCCTTCGCTCTCTCAATTAACAAAATCTCACTACGTCTCCTTTCATTCCAAGTTAAACCAACATTACAATCCATTAATAAAACGCATATCCTCTCTAACAATCCCTGATAACCCCCTGATACGTTTAAAACGCTCCTGGCCTAGAGACCTTCTAATTTAATCTGTCGGGTGGCACTACTGAGTGCCCTCCCCCATCTGTTATTCACGCTATTATGTAAATACTTTATCAATATTACTTATTGTACAAAATTGCTGTATAGATTGTAATTATATTTTATAAATAAAAAAAAAAAAAAAAGATGTTTTATGACAAAAATTGCTGATATTTATATTTTTAATGGGTATTTTATATCAGCTTTAAGACCAACCTAAAATAAATCTATTGTATTCATTTTTAGGCATTTTAACCACAAAAAAAAACTTTTAACAGTATAAAGTATAAATTGAAAATATTTAGAAAATTATATCACTTAAAGAAAACTTAATTTTTTTGAAATTCTAGTAAGAAAAACTGATAAAGAATCATGTAGTATATTTTCAAGTCAATTTTTTTTAAACAACGACACTCGATTTACACATCAATATTTGTACTTGGTAGGTACCAAAAATTCAGCTTAATAAACATTTTACCCAATACTTATAGTTAGTTAATAGTTATGCCTAGTACCTACATAGTTTTAGCAACTATAAACATAATTACATCTATTAGCTATTATGAAATATGAATTAACAAACAACTCCAAGTCATAACTTAAAAATTAACTTCATGCAAGAAAATGAGTAAGTAATAGACAAATACAAATACATTAAATATTATATTAATTGATAGACAAGAAAAAAAGAATAGAGTGCAGAATGAATACTGAATAGTGACTAATGAGTGACGACTGGAAAATATTTAAAATTTAAATTAGTTATTACCGATTTATGTGAAATGAGTAAATGACACAGTCTTAAGTTATTATTTATTTTACGCCTGTTGTTTCATTCATGTTTAATTGTATTCCTCCATGATAAAATTACATGTGGTGTGATTTCTTATCAATATTATCAACTTGAAATTAGCTAAATATTTATGTTTTAACTTTTAAAGATTATCTTATTTGAAAAGTAATTTTTATTTTATTTTTCATTATTACTATATTTATTCTGTCTTTAACCCTTATCCCTTATGTTTATAGTTTCTCAAATTTTATATTGATATTTAATTTGTATCATTTAAGTTTATAGTAAAATTTGATTGAAATTATGTCTATTAAAATGTCGGATAATGATTCACTAAATGTTGGGTAAATTATATTTAATTTATTAAGAACTTATTTAAAATATTTGCCTTGGCTTTGAAAACATAAACTTTTCAAATAATATTTGAAAGTTAATATAAATAATTTTTATTTGTATTATAGTAATACTTATAAAGTGGCAAACAATGGTCAACTTATTAAACTAGAATCAAATATTCTTGGTGCACAAACTCTAATTGTAACTGATGATGATGGATCTCTTGAGTCTGTTGATGAACAACCTACTGCTGCCGTCATAGAAAACGGAAATGTAACTGGAATTGTTATGAGTAAAACAAACGACACAAACATTACACAATATGAACTTAGACCAAACAATAATGCTAGTAAGCAGTCTAAATATTTAGCATTAAGTTTGAAAATTTTTTATTTCTTTATTTTTTTGTAGCTCAATTTTTTGTTGTTCAACCAATTAATGATTTATTTACTACTACAACAACTGTTAAAAGACCAATTGTACCACTTAATAGTGAAGTATCCAGAAAACGAGTAGATCGCACTGTTGTAACAGTAAGTAATTAAAAATGAATTTTATTTTCAAAGTATTTTAATATCTTATCATTAATTATGTTGAAATAAATATTCAATTTTTTTTCTTAATCATAACATTATTTTAAAGTCTATGTCAAATTATAAACTTTAAATTCATATTGTTGATAAATAAATTAAAATATATGATAATGTTTAAAGAGAGATGCTAAAAGACGATTGACACATAATGAAGTAGAACGTCGAAGACGTGATAAAATAAATCAATGGATAATGTATATGAGCAAAATTATACCAGATTGTGCTGAAGAAAACAAAACTAACTATGATAACCAGGTAAAATATTAAATACTTTTGTATAATATATTTATCAAATAAGCTTTTTTAAGATATGATTATCAAACTAATAATAATAATAAAATTAAAGGTAGTTTGTGCATTACATGCAACTTAAATGAGTAAATGCATGTCTTGTTTTCATTATATGTATAAATAAAGGTGTTTAAGAGTAATTAAGATAATAAAATTGCCTTAATTACTCTTAATATAGTATAATTGTGTATTAATATCTTCATTTTTAGATTAAAAAAAAAATCATAATTTTATTTAATCATAAGTTATACTATATTTGTCAAATATAATATTTATTATTAGTCTACTTTGGAATTGAAATATAAATTCTTCTTAATAGTTAAAATTAAGTTTGTTATAATTTTATAATTTAACTTAAGCATTATTCATTTATTTATTAATTACCATTTTATATTAATAATTAGTATAAATTTTTTTTTTTTTTCTAGAGTAAAGGAGGAATTTTAGCAAAAGCATGCGATTATATTAATGAATTAAAATCAACTAATCAAAGATTGATGGATTGTGTAAAACAAATGGAGGCTGTTAATAGACATAATGATGAACTAAGGATGGAAAATGAAGAACTAAGAGGAATTTTATCACAACATGGATTATTATCTGAAAGGTGATTTTTAATTTTTGTTAATATTTCAATAATTATAGGCTGAAAGTATATGAGCAATTTAAATGTATAAGTAAATGATTAATATAACATGTGTTGGGATATAAATTTAAATTTAATTAAAACCTAGAATATTGCCTACTATATAATATTTTCAGTTAATGACATTAATGTCTAAATTTAGATTGGCATTGGTAAATTCTAGAGTATCTAAAATAGTTTGATTAAACTCTACAAAATCATTATAATTTGGGTTTTAAAAAATAAATAAATGTAAACTTAAAGATAAACAGTATATTATGATAAAAATCTGAAATTAAAAAAATAAAGTGAATGTTATACATATATTTAACAGTTAGTTTTGATCTGAATAAGACTAGCAGAAGTTATAGCTTAATAAGTATATGCTAAATAATAAAATGACCAAATAAAATATAATGAATGTCAAAATAGTCAAATGTTCTACTAATTTTGTTTTAAAAATATATTATTTCTATATAATATACTATTCATTATATGTTTTTTTTTTTGTATTTTGAACCTTGAGTTTTTATCATAATAAATTTATTAAAATTTACCAATTCTCGTTTGTAAAAACTTGAGTTACAATAATTTTTTGGAGTTTGATCAGATTACTTTGTATATCCTAGAACTTTTTAACATGTACTGGTAAAAGCCTGAAATTTGGAGATTTTAGTAATTATTCATAAGAAAACGTTTATAATCCTATATTGTAACAAAAAAGAAAATCATCACTTTCAATCCCTTTAACATAAGAAAAATGTTATAAGTAATTGAAATTATATGAATTAATATTATTATTATGATTTTAGTTTTGTTTCTAGAGATGGCGATTCTTCATGAGAATTATTAGAAGTTATAAATTACGTTAAACTGATTTAAACTTCATATTTGTTACTATATTTAAAATTCATAATACTGAAGAGACCAATGTTTAACTATCATGTTTACAATTTTAAATGTTTTCAATAATATAAAAATAAATAAGGGCTATTTGGAATATTAAATATATTATTGTATTATTGATAGCTGACTTTTAATTAAATTTAACTATCATTTTAGATCAAATACTAAAAACAAAACAATATTTTAGGTTATAAGTAATTTATTATTAATTATTAATATACTTTAGTGACTACTATGTATTGTACTTAACTTCTATAATTTATTTAATACAATATTTAACTGAAGATTACTATACTAAGTTAAGAATACATAAAAGGCGTGTTTGTATTGAACTAAATTTTAGATTTCTGTTAGGTTGAAAATTCAGCTTGTTTAGTGACTACTAAACTGCACCTAACTTGAGATGTAGAGTTTAAATTAAATTAAATTAACACCTTAAATAGTTTTTGATCTTGAAAAATTCAAGGAAACTAAAATGTCATCTAAAAATAAATATTGTAAGTTAATTTAACTGTTTAATGAAATATAGTTTTTATTTTACCTAGATAAAAGTTCAGAACATAATTTTACATTTAATAAAAGTATGCAAGATAATTTTTTTTTTTATTGAAAAATTTAAATTAAAAAATTATCTGGCTTAAAAATTTTTAATTAAAAACTAGCGATTAGATTTTTATTCTTAATTTTACAGAATTGTAGTGATTATAAGAACTTGAAATTTTTTTTTATATATAACATAAATAATTTTTATTGAGTACCTCGATTTTTTATTGATTTATTGACTATTTATAAATCTATAACTATATTTTACAGTTTAGGTTATTGGAATCATTTTTTCATAAAATCTTTTATATCATTAATCAATTTCTGTATTATTGATAATATAATAACACTTTTCAGAAGCTATTTTTATTAATTATATATTTTTACTGTATAATAAATAAAGATGTATATTATTTTAAAATAGCCTTCATATTATCAAATTTAAAATTTATGTACAAGGGTTATCTTTTTTTTTTTTAGTACTAATTGTGGTAAATTTATTGTTTTGTGTTTTTGTTATATAGTTTTTAATTATTTATAAGAAAAATGTTGAATGGAATTACATGTGGTTTTTTTTGTATATATTAATTTATGTGTGGTTATTACTATTTTATTTTCTTGAATATAAAGCAGAATTTAAAAAAAATAAAAATTTGTTTTAGTTTTTCAATTTTTAACCCTTTGCCCCAACATTTTATTTTCATCAAATAATGTACAATAATTATTGGTTAACAATAATATTAAATTTCAAACCATGTATTTCACTTTCAAATGGTATGGAGGCTATGTTAATTCTCTTAAACATTATGGCCCAAGTCATCCACTTGTCATTTCCTATTCATGTAATAATGTTAATGATTGTGATTTGTCTGATTTACCGTGGTTATAGTGTAATATTATACTTAAACAAACTGCATTGATAGTTTAATGTTTAATGTAATGTACACAATTTAAATGAATTCCTTGAATTTAAAATTGTGAGAAAGAAAATTATCATATTATGTATTAATATTCTCTTGATGTCAAATGTCAAACTATTGCTATATCCGACATAGGTACTACTTATTTTTAACTGTTTGAGGTAGATTTAATTAATTTGGACTGGGATTTGAATTTGCCACAGTATATGTTTTTTCAGTATTATTTCAATAATATTTTTGTTTTGCATTTTTGACAAATCTAATTTTATAGAGCATTTTTCAAGTTGTAAGAATATTTTTTACGGTTTATTTTTGAAACGAACGTAATTAATTATTCTACTACAAAATATGGAAATGAAATATTTGTTCATTTTTATTATAAAAACCGGCATATCGGTTCATGTCAGGTTGTCCGAGAGTTTCTGAGTGGGGTAGTAATGTAGTATCGATCATTCGGACAAGACATAGGTTCAAGGTTGTGGAACTCGTAGATAGAAGATACCAAGATCGTACGCGTTTTACGTATAATATGATATAAGTTACTGTATCAATTATCTAATTATTATTTAATCATTTTCTGATACCTATCTTAAAAATTTTTTCTGAAAAATATTCACCACTGTACAACACGTTTCCGTCGTAGCCTCGTAGGTACTTATTTTATTATAGTCGTTACAATAATAATTTTTAAATGTATTTTTATTAGGTAATTTTTTGAAATTTATTTAGGCATCTTTTAACCCCAAAGCCCTCTTCTAATCATGTGTTGTAACGTTGACGCGTAAAAAGAAAACAACTATAGGTAAGCAGGTACGTGGTAAGGAGGATGGATTTATAAGACGTTTTAACATGACCCATGACAGTGTCGAAAAACCAAATATTTCTTAAAAACATTTCTTAGGTTATTACTAATTAAATTCATAATGTACAGTTTATTCAACATTTTTTTTCTCAAATTCATTTTGTATGAAAAATTTAAAATTATAATCGTCAAACTCAAAGCCAACCCTAATTGCGGGCTGTTATTCGTGATAAAACCGAACGGAAATTATTAAAAGGCACGAACATTTAACGCTTTTTATTACTACTAGAGTGCAGCCGTGATTTTCATTATTTTTTTTTTCTAAACAAAATGCACAGATGGAAATGGAATAGTATTATGTTCACAGAAATGTTGTCCGAATAATTATTATTAATTGGTAGTTGGTACTGCACTACGTCGTTCTTGCATAAGTGACTAGTTCAGCCAGTCGACTTATACCTACGAGGCTACGAGTGTTTTTTTTAAATTAGATCATTTTCACGTCTATATATGTCCTCACTCGTCGTATATTATTACTATAATAATTAACTAACGTATTTTAATTACTACTTTTTTTCATAGAAACGATTTCTTGTAGTTATTTTGTTAATTTATAATTTTCGAAAATTGTTATTAGTTTGTTTGAATCAAAAAAAAAAAAAAAATCACTATGTCGACCTTAAAATTATCTTCTCTTTTAACAAACTCAGGTAAATCATATCATTTTTTTTTTTTCATAATATTTATTAATCGAGCTAATGTTGAATAGAGTAATGTAAAATAATAATATATTTTTGCATTATGTAGGGATGAGGTTTTCTCTGAATGGTGTCATGAAAAGGTCGATAGCCTCTTTGTCATCCTTGTCAGAGACTCATCGATTGCTGTATAAAACTTGTAGAGATTTTGCAGAAGGAGAGTTAAAACCTGTTGCAGCCAAAGTGGACAAAGAACATTTATTTCCCGAAAAACAGGTCTGTGACTTGTGATAAATATTTGACTTAAAAGTATAATATTATAAGTGATGTAGGTATAATGAATCTTTAGCATTGATAAATGTGGTAGAATGTGGTAAATTGATACTCACAATTTAATAGTAATTAAATTTATATGGAAATAATTTTGCACTTTACATTTATAATACAAAGTTCATGTGGATAGTGGACTATTTGATAAATACCTTTGTTTTGAAATTATATTATTTGTGTTGATCTATTATCTATATAATAATAAAAATGGAATTAAAGGCACATATGCAATTGAAATACATTGTATATAGTCATTTTATTATATGCATTACTTATGCTTGTTTAATGAATATAATATGATAAATAAGTGTACTATATTATGTATCCTACCAAATGATTATGGTTTGTATTATGTCAATGTTAAAAATAAATTTTATCATTAAATTCAAAGAGTATTAGGTATTAAATTACTTATACAATATTGCAAAGTTATTTGCTTACTATATAAGACAAGATAAGTGTAATAGATTAATATATATTATAAATATCTTTGATTAAAGTTTAGAATAATATTAACTTGGTATGTATGATATTATTAGCAAATTGTAATAAGTTTATAATGATCAAACATTTTATTTTACTTGTCATGTTTAAAATGTGTACTCACCTATATTGTTAAAAAATTTTTTTATTTATTTCAGATTAAAGAAATGGGAGAATTGGGTTTAATGGCAATTGATATTCCAGAGTCATTGGGTGGTACTGGTCTTGACTATTTGGCATATGCTATTGCAATGGAAGAAATTTCAAGGTACATTAAAAATACATAAAAAATAATTTACTTCTTAGTACCTCTTTCAATTATTTAAATATTAATATTTTTTATTTTTATTTTTTAGAGGTTGTGCTTCTGCTGGTGTTATTATGAGTGTAAATAACTCTTTGTACCTTGGTCCAATTAATAAATTTGGAAATGATAAACAAAAGGAAGAGTATATCAGACCTTTTACAAGTGGTGAAAAAATTGGATGTTTTGGTCTTAGCGAACCAGGTAAATAAAACATTTATTGTTCAATAATTAATACATAGTATACTCCAGAAAAAGACTAGTTTCTATATAAATAAATGATTCATTATGTATAAACAATAATATTTTATGATTTATTTAATTTTATTGTTAAATAATTTAATCACTTGATATATATGCTTATTAATAAAATTAAACAATAGGTATAAAATAAGAATAATAATTATTTGGATCATATTTCAGGTTAATAGTTCAACCTATTACAAAAAAAATAAAATATTAATTATTAATTACTAAAACTAATACTCATTTAGATTAAAAATAACCTTTAATGACTTGTTTATCATTCTTAATTTAATGTATTACTTATATTATCTATAATTGAATAATATTTGATTTAAAACGTTACTCTTTTATCAAACATCAATAAAATTTATACAATGTTATAGGATCTTAATCATAGATTTAAATAATGTATAACATGTGTACAATACAGAGGAATTTTTCTCTTTAATTGCAGAATTTGATTAAAATTCAATGATATATGTTTGTTCTATATATTTTTTTTTAATTGCAGCTATTAAGTAAAGTTTTATCTATATGACTATATAATAATGACAAAGAATCTAAAGGCATTAATCTGTATCAAAAATAATTTATTCATGAATAATAGTTTTATGTAACGTAATTAGCAGCAATATAATATAAACAGAAATGCATTATTGTTTCATTTAGTCACTACAAATGTTTTAATTGATTGAAATATTAATAACAATTAGGTAGTTGTAATTATTTTATTTTTGTCTATTAGTAATTCGGGTACAATAATTTGTATTATTTAATATGGTTT